TTTGTTTAGGTCTAAGATTTTTGTACGGTTGAATTTTAAAATGTAAGTTATTGGGTCAATATTTATTAATGGAAAAAAAAAATTCAAAATTTTGCGGGGGCGAGACAAAATTTTAATGGGGGCGAAACTGAAAAATACATTACAAATTAATTAGAAATAGTGGACCAGCGAACAATGTTGAGGGGCGATCACCCCCCGCCCCCTCCTATCTCCGTCTCCGAGTGAAGCACACTTACCGTTAGAACTCATCGATTTAGGCTGATTCCACAACAATAGTTCACTCTGGAATAAAATAAATAAATAAATAAATAATAATAATTGCTTAAGATCGAAAAAAAAATGAGGTAAGTGAGAATTGGGAAGAAACTTTTGCCTACCACTTTTACCATTACATATTTATCTATATACCCAATATTTACAAAAAGAAAAAAATAAAAAATGGAAAGGTTGCATTAATATGTTATATGTATTATTTACCATTATTTAAAAATTATTTTAATTGACAGCTACACATGAATATACTTAAGTTTAGATAAAACTAGAATACCAAATGATTCCATTATTATTGCTTTCCAAAATTAAGTCAATTAATTTCCACTAAACACAATTATTGCTAATTATTAGTATACAATTACATATATTTCTAATTCATTACGGAATACCAAATGTTAACTGTGGAGTACCAAATGTTTCAATTATTATAGTATACATTATTGATTTGCCAACTTCTATGGGTATTTCTCGAATGTTAAATGTGGCAGATTTGTATGAGTTTCATAAAGATAATGAGCCTTTATATCCCGAATATAACTCGGGGGTGAGTTCTTCAAAGGTGGAAGGGACTAATGTAGAACATATTGTTGAAGAATTGAATCAAAATAGAGAAAAAATAATAGTGCGGAGAGAACGTTTGAATTTCAGTTTGGGTTCATAATAGCATTCCGAAAAGAGGACAACGATACGAGTAATACTCATCGCTATGCCTTCACATACGATGGATTTCGGCCATTTGAGTTCATGTAGGACTTGAAAACTAATTTTTAAAATTTCAGCGCTATTTTTGTCATTTAGTTTATCTCAAATTCTTTTTTTTAATTTTAATTTGTTTAAGTTAGGTTTTCATTAATTTTAGTTATATTAGACTAGATTTTCATATAAACCCTTATAAATAAATGATTATTTCATTGGTTGTTTGTTTTTTTGTGTTAGATTTTATTAATAAAATTCATGAATTTAATTTTTCATAATTTGGTAGATTCCAAAATTCGTGTTTTTCAGGTTTTCACTTGAATCCCTTGTTTTGTGTTGCGTCACTTTTGAAGTCGAACCATTTTTTTATCCTTGGTCCTTACTTCAAGCAACA